TGTATTCTTATCTGAATTGCTAATTTATCATCAGAGCATATAGCTTATAAAATCAATTTAATAGTTGTTACAGTATACCCACTACTAACCAGGAGCCATGCCAGGCACTTCTATTTAAACACAACCACCTCATGGCACAGGAATCAATTGTTTCTGCCTTGCAGATGAGATCAGTGAGCCTTTACAAGAATAAATAAATGCCCAAAACCCTTAACCATTAGTTATTGGGCTCTTTTCATGTCAAACTAAAGCACTGATAACATTAAGCTAATATTCCAATACAACTCCCAACTAAATAATTTGACTCTTCCTATCAAATTAAATACACATTCAAAGCCTGCAACAGTCTGCTGCACATTTTCATTTGTTCAATATGAGTGTCCTTTTATTTTCCCTATTAATTCTTCTCTCCAGCCAAGCAAGTTACTGTCCTCCAGGCATCCTACCTCCACCTACTTACTTTCCAAAATCTTTGTCTTTACTTTTTCTTTTCCCTCTGCTCAGAAAACATACACTCTATTCAAGTATACTCTCCTCACCTCATTATTGACTATTAATATACAAACAACTCCATTAAAAAATGGGCAAAGGACATGAACAGACACTTCTCAAAAGAAGACATTTATGCAGCCAAACAAACATGAAAATAAAGCTCAACATCACTGATCATTAGAGAAATGCAAATCGAAACCACAATGAGATACCATTGGCTATTATGAAAAAGTCAAAAAACAACGGAAGAACAGATGTTGGTGAGGTTGTGGAGGAAAAGGGACACTTTTACACTGTTGATGGGACTATAAATTAGTTCGACCATTGTGGAAGACAGTGTGGCAATTCCTCAAAGATCTAGAACCACAAATACCATTTGACCCAGCAATCCAATTACTGGGTATATACCCAAAGGAAAATAAATCATTCAATTATAAAGACACATGTACGTGTATGTTCATTGCAGCACTGTTTACAATAACAAAGTCATGGAATCAGCCTAAATGCCCATCAATGATAGAATGAATAAAGAACATGTGGTACATAACACCATGGAATATTATGCAGCCATAAAAAGGAACAAGATCATGTCCTTTGCAGGGACATGAATAGACTTGGAAGCCGTTATCCTCAGCAGACTAATGCAGGAACAGAAAACCAAACACCACATGTTCCCATTTATAAGAGGGAGATGAATAATGAGAACAAATGGACCAACTCTACACTTGTGGAGGCCTGGGCTTAATAACTGATGATCTGTGCTGTAAACCACCATGCCACACGTTTACCTATGAAACAAAACTGCACATCCTGTACACGTATCCACGAACTTAAAAGCTGAAAAAAAAAAAATACTATTCATCCTTCACTTCGTCTTTGACTATTGCAAAGAACACTACCTTTAAGAAAACTTTCCTGACCCAATCAAAGCCTATCTATTCCCTTTCAGGCTTCTTTTATGGTCCTTGACCTGTAAAATAAAGTAAAATATGATGTTCATTTTTGCCCTCCACTAAATCAAAAAAAAATTTTTTTTTGAGATGGAGTGTCGCTCTGTCACACAGGCTGGAGTGCAGTGGCATGATCTCGGCTCACTGCAAGCTCCACCTTCCGGGTTCACGCCATTCTCCTGCCTCATCCTCCCAAGTAGCTGGGACTACAGGCACCCGCCACCACACCCGGCTAATTTTTTGGTATTTTTAGTGGAGACGGGGTTTCACCGTGTTAGCCAGGATGGTCTCAATCTCCTGACCTCGTGATCCGCCCGCCTCAGCATCCCAAAGTGCCGGGATTACAGGTGTGAGGCACCCCGCCTGGTCTAAAATTTTTTTAAGAGTGGTAACCACACAAAGGACTTATCCTTTGCAGTACTTAGTAGGTGCCTTGTACACATGGGTATGCAAAAAAATTTTTTTGCTTGAACTGAACCTAACTTATTAGGCAGCCTGAAAAAGAACTCAAGCCTTCCTTCACAATGGAGCTAAGAAAATACTTAAGAAACTTACTTCTTTAAATTCTGTAATATGATATTATTGTATAAATACTAAAGTTATATTACCCTAACTTTTTATACTGATGGCTGGCCAAAAACTATAACAGTTGGGAAATAATTATCACAAACCACAAAAATAATTTATATTCTTGATCCAATTATTTCACTTGTAAGCATTCAAACTATGAAAAAAGCTAACTGCAAGGAAATATTAACTATAGTGTTATTTAAAATAACATGAGGTTTACATTAGGGGTTTACATTAGGAACAGTAGATCATAGAGCTTACATTAGGAACAATGTCATGGGGTTTACATTAGGAACAATAGTGACAAAGGCCTACCAACATGAAAAAAATATTAAAACATAATGAGTGAAAATGAGATAAAGCATGTTAAACTTTCTCAATAATTTAAAATATAAAATGCCAGCTAGGCGTGGTGGCTCATGCCTGTAATCCTAGCACTTTGGGAGGCCAAGACAAGTGGATCATGAGATCAGGAGTTCAAGACCAGCCTGACAATATGGTGAAACCCCAGCTCTACTAAAAATACAAAAATTAGCCAGGTGTGGTAGCACAGGCCTGTAATCCCAGCTACTCAGGAGGCTGAGGCAAAAGAATAGCTTGAACTGAACCAGGGAGGCAGAAGTTGCAGTGAGCCAAGATCGCGCCACTGCACTCCAGCCTGGGCGACAGAGTGAGACTCCATCTGAAAATAATAATAATAATAATAAAATATATAGTGCCATATAAATTATCAAAAAAACAAATTGTAGACTTGAAGAAAATATTGTAACATAGATAATCAAAAAAGAATACTCTTGTTATTCAAAGATCTCTTACAACTTGGTAAGACAAATGACTCAATTAAAAATGAGCAAAAAATATACTTAAGTCACAGAAAAAGAAGTGAAAATGAAAAATGAGTATGAATAAAAATATGCTCAATTAGTAATAGATTAAAAAGAAAATCAAATACTTTTCTCATTCATCAGATTAACAAAGATATAAGGAACGGAGTACTCTTAACACTGCTACTAGAAGTAGGTATTATTGAGATCTTTTTGGAAAATAATCTAGCAGTGTCAATTAAAATTTTAAACGCTCATACCTCTGAACCCAAGAACTTTACTTACAGGACTGTATTTCATAGAAATAAAGAAACCAGTAACTAAAGAACTAAAGATACATGTTTAAAGACTTTTTAGTAGAGTAGCATACTGGAAACAAACTGAATATTTCTCAATAGAGGACTAGATAATCAAATTTTAGTACAGCCACAATATGGGATACTATGAGATATTAATAATAATAATAATGAGTTGGATCTATATGTATAACCTAAAGCAGTGGTTCTCAATGTGGCTGCACATTAGAACCACTTAAGGAAGTTTTATAAATTTTGATACCCAGGCCTCGTGCCAAACAATCAATTTGGAATTTCTGAGAATTGGACCCATCAGCACTATTAATACTTCTTGGAGATTCCAATGTGCAGCCAAGATTACAAACTACTAATTCATGGAATGTCCATAACATATTGTTAAGCAAAAGAACCTATTTTGAGTATATTATGAACCTTGAAGGAAAGGAAGGGAGTGAGGAAGGGAGAGACAAAGGAATGAATGAACAAAGGAAGAAAAAGATTTGTGTGTGTATGCATACATATTTATGCATATATGTATGTGCATATGCTTCAACATATTAATATTTATACATATTCAAACATATATACATATTCATGAATTATGTTTGTATATATTTATTCCTAGAAGGACACAAGATAGATGTTGAAGAACACACATCAATTTTAACATTAGTTACCTCTAGAAGTATGGAAATGAAGGAAATTATAGGATTTTATTAATTTTTTACATTATAATTCATAACTGTTTAAGTTTGTATAATAAGCATGGGTTACTTTGTTTTAAAACAAAGTATTAAAAGCATGCATAGGAAAAAGCAAGTGAGAAGAATACCCATAGCTTGTTCTTATCCTACTGCTGTTATCTTTAATTTGTTCCAACTGTATTATAAACATATAATTTTATATTCTATTTTTCACTCAGTATTATATCATAAGTGTATAACTAAATGACATTTCATCACATATATGTATTCGAATGTGTGTACCCAGTCCATCCTTTGTGGCCATTTATGATGTTTCTAATTTCTGACTATTAAAAATAATGGCACAATCTGTTCTCAACATTACAGTGAGAAATCCTATTAAAACATAGGTCAAGCCGGGTGCAGTGACACCTGCCTGTAGTCCCAAATAGCCAGGTGTGGTAGCGCAGGCCTGTAATCCCAAAGCGATAAGTCCAAGGTGGAGGACTTATCGCTTAAGTCCAGAAGTTCAAGATCTGCCTAGGCAGCACAGCAAGATGCCATCTTTAATAAATAAATAAATAAATAAAAGATCAGATTAAATCATTTCATTCATTCAAAGACTTTCAATGGCTCCCTGTTCACACATTATAAGTGAAGTCTTTCCATTGGCCTGCAAAGCCCTCAATGACACAACTTCCCATTTCCTCTCTGACCTTGTCTCCTACCACTCTTCCTTTCAGCTCCAATCATGTTGTCCTCCTTGGTATTCCTCAAATACTCAAAGCGCAGTCCCACTCTGGGGCCATTGCACTGGCTGCTTCCTCTGTTTGGAATCTCTTCCCCCAGATATCCCATAATTCTGGGGTCCCCAACACCTGGGCCACAGATGGGTACTAGGCTGCACAGCAGGAGGTGAGCGCTTCAACATCACCGCCTGAGCTCTGCCTCCTGTCAGTCCCTGGTGCCAAAAAGGTTGGGGACCACTGGCATAATTAACTCCCTCACCCCCTTGATGTCTTTGCTCAAACATCACCTTCTTAACAAGGTCTATGCTGATGAACATATATAAAACTAAAACTTACCCAGAATTCCAGCACTCGTGATCGCCTTTATCCTGATCTACCTTTTTTATTTTTTGAAAGCACTGATCACCTTCTAACATACGATATAACTCACCTATTTAGTCTGTTGTTTATTATTTTCTTTCTCCTGCTGCTAGAATATAAGTTCCAAAAGGACAGGGATCTTTGTTTTGCTCGATGAGTCATCCAAATTATCTAGGAAAGTATGTAGACATAGTAGTTGCTCAATAAATATTTGTGAGTGATTATAACTTCTTTAATGTATTATTCTGTTAGGAATAGATTACTATAAATGAGTTTGCTAGCTTAAAGATTATACTTCAAAATATATTATTATCAAATTGCTTCCCAAAATGTTTGCAAGATTAAGTAATTCACTCATGATCACTCAGCAACTGGCTAAAATGGAATTTGAATTTTTCAGAGCCTACGTTCTTTACCATGTGCCATGCTGCTTTGGTTCAATAGATTGAACTAAAAGAAAAAAACACAAAGTGGGCTTTAAGTAGCAATAAGATCCAACTATGCACTCCCTGAAGGAAGGGAAATACCTCATTCATTTTTCTATCCACAGAGCAAAGTAACTGGCATAAAGGAAGAACTCACTGAATACTTATTGAATTAATTTCTTTAATATTTTAAAAGTAGGACAAAGCAATCTTCCTGCCTCAGCCTCCCAGCACTTTGGAAGGCTAAGGCAGGAGGATTGCTTGAGGCCAGGAGTTCATGACCAGCCTGGGCAACATAGTGACACTCCATCTCTACAAAAATTTTAAAATTAGCTGAGTGTGGTGGCACATATTTATAGTCCTAGCTACTCCAGGGGCTAAGGCAAGGGAAACATTTAAGCCCAGGAGTTGGAGGCTGCAGTGAGCTATGATCATGCCACTGCATGCCAGCCTGGGCAACAGATCAAGACCCTGTCTAAAAATAAAATAAATAAAATTTTTAAAGATATTTTTAAGTAACACTACAAGTAAGAATTATGAAAAATCCAAAAATTTGGGGAGAAGTTGATCTATACATCAAAATAATTACCCATTTTAAGGCAATCAGCAGAAATCTTATCTACAAAGGGGCAATTGAACTAAAAGCAGCAGAACCCCCCCCACTAGACGTCAGTATTGTGTATTGTGTACTGTGTATTATCAGAATTCTTCATTTATAAAAATGAAGGTCAATGAAATCTGTCTCTTTCTGCTCTTTGACTACCTTTTTTACCTTTCTTCCAAGAGCTCTAGAGTTCCCACAGCAGTTCCACAATGTAGACAGCACCAACTTTCCCCTTTTTGAAATCACATCTCTGAAGAGTATAGTGACTTTCCAGAGATCAGTGACCTCTACTCCCCGACCCCAGTTTCAGCCTACTCATCTTTACTTTTCATCAATGATACCTCCAACCCAATCTTTCTCTGCCTCTTCTCTCGGTTTCTACCTGATCTCTCTTTTAGCACTAAAGGCTCAATCCTTGGCAAGGACACACTTAGAGAAGTGTTACTTAGAGAAGGTTCATTTTGCCAAGAGGAAAGTGATTTTCTATCACGGTAGACCATTATCGTGTTAGCCTCAAATGGATTTGTAAAATCCAGAGCTCCCAAGGTCTTGCTTAGATGGATCTGACATAAGAGAACTGCCTATATTGATTGAATGCCAGGGCATAAACTCTAAAGAAGAGACAAGACAGAAGTTCATAGGAACATGCTCTAACCTTCAACAGGTTCATCTCCCTAATAAAATGGGATGCAGGTAAACTTCAGAGGTGTTTTGTGGCTTTCCCAGCTGTTGCATGGCAAGATTGGAATTCTGTCCCAGTTCTCCTGTCCCTAGCCCTTTCTATTATTCAGTAGTTGGCTGCAGAGAGCTGAGTCAGATTAACTCCTAAATCTCTTTCAGCATATTAAATTTAGTTTATTTTTTAAAGATTTGATTCTTCACCGTATATGAGGAGACCATCTAATCAGTTGCCAACTAAAATTGGGAAAGAAATCTCTGAGAAAAAAAAACTGCTGTGAAAGTTTTAGGGCTGAAGGTTGTTTAGGGTAAGAACAAAATGATGTCCTTGCTTCTGCATACATAGAAAGCATTTAGAGGCTGGGCACAGTGGCTTATGCCTGTAATCCTAGCACTTTCGGAGGCCGAGGGGACGGATCACCTGAGGTCGGGAGTTTGAGATCAGCCTGGCCAACATGGAGAAACCCTGTCTCTACTAAAAGTACAAAATTAGCTGGGCGTGGTGGGCATGCCTGTAATCCCAGCTACTTGGGAGGCTGAGGCAGAAGAATCGCTTGAACCCGGGAGGTAAGAGTTGCAGTGAGCTGAGATAATGCCACCATTGCACTCCAGCCTGGGCAACAAGAGCAAAACTCTGTCAAAAAAAAAAAAAAAGAAAAGAAGAAAGTTAGGAAGAGAGAGAGAGAAAGAAAGAAAGAAGGAAAGAAAGAAAGAATTTAACATCACAAATGCATACATTACAGTGATGTAGTCATGGTGAGTTATGTCCCAAAGAGCAACCCTGGGTAGGAAATTCCAGAGGAGCAAAGCTACCATGGCTCAACTGTAGTCCTCCAAATCTTTTCCAGAACAGCCCAAAACTAATCTGTACACTGACTTTCAGAGCACAGGTTTGCTGCATAAGGACTTCCTTGCTCTTACAAACAAAGACTGGATGGCCATCTGCCAGTAAAAAAGACTTCATCTTTTCAACATTCAACATTCATCCTATCATCATGTGTGAGTGTCTGCTACATTCCAGGCACTGTGCTAGGTATTCAAATCCAAAAAGCAAACAGACGTGATGGTCTTGATACCTTACCACGTCAAGACTCCATAACCTGTGGAGTGTTCGATAACTAGGAAAAAGAAATCAGTGCTGTGGCAAAATCCAAAGGTGACAAGTCATAACCCCAGGCATCTTGAGGAATCCTGGAGGGTGTCCATATGTGTGTTTTGTCTGTGTGTGTCTGTGTGTGTAGGTGCCTTCATAGACAGCAACATGTTAAAAAAGTATTCTGATTCCTTAGACAGAAAAGAGGTTAAAACAACTCTCATAAATTAAAAGGCCTCCTATTAAACTTCTAAACACACACTTAAGTGACATATCAGACAAGTGGCTGAGACAGAGTCTTGCTCAGTACCACGTACATGTGAGCGTACACGTGCAGACCCACAAAAAGCATGACAAGCAACGCAAGTAGTGGTAAAACTTACCAGTTTTCTCCAGTTGTGCAAGGATGCTTTAGCTAATTGTTATAATGTTACTCTAATGTTATTTCATTCACTTTTCTCATAATTATTTCTAGAAATGAAACAGAAAAAGCAAAACACTAAAAAACATGAAATAAAATACACTCTGATATGGATATTAGTAACTGGCTTCCTGCTTGAACAGTTTCACCTTTCTAAATTGTGTGTGTGTGTGAGAGAGAGAGAGAGAGAGTCTCACTCTGTCACCTAGGCTGGAGCGCAGTGGCGTGATCACAGCTCATTGCAGCCTCAACTTCCTGGGCTTACGCGATTCTCCCATCTCAACCTCCCAAGTAGCTGGGACTACAGGCACACACCAACCGTGCCCAGCTAATTTTTGTTGTTGTTGTTGTTTTTTGTTCATTGGGGTTTTTTTTTTTTCGGTTGTTTGTTTTGTTATGTTTCTTGTTTTTGGTTTTTGGTTTGTTTATTTGTTTGTTTGTCGTAGAGGTGGGGATTTCACTGTGTTGCTCTGGTTGGTCTCAAATTTCTGGGCTCAGGTGATTCTCTTGCCTCGGCCTCCCAAAGTGCTGAGTTTACAGGCATGAGCCATTCACACCGAGCAGTTCCATCTTTTTGATATTGGTCCTTGGATTTTTTTTAATCCTTTTTCTTCTCTGCAAATTTTGCATTTTTTCTTTTCAATACTTTGACTTCTGTCAGGCCAACTAAGACAGAACTAAGTCTACTTGACATTACCACTTTAATCAGTAACTACCATGGGCACCATTAGAACTGCATTTTAAGACATCCAAAAATCTGTTACTCAAAGGTCATACATTCATTTAACAAATTTTCTTATAGAAAGAAAGTATTCATTTTTAGTTCATATTAATAGAAAGCATACTTTTAGGGGATATAACTTGATAATAACATTAAGCTTAAAGTTTTCTATTAAGAAAATTTTTTTAACTTTTTTTAGGGACAGAGTCTTGCTCTGTCACCCAGGCTGTAATATGGTGGTGCAATCATAGTTCCCAGTAGCTTCAAACTCCTGGACTCAAGCAATCCTCCCACTTCAGCATTCCCAGTGGCTGGGACTACAAGCACGTGCTGCCATACCTGGCTAGTTTTTTCGGTTTTTGAATTTTTTTAGAGACAAGATCTCACTATGTTTCCCAGGTTGGTCTCAAGCTCTTGGTGTCAAGCTATCCTCCCACCTTAGACTCCTGAGTAGCCAGGATTATAAGCTCAAGCCACTGTGCCCAGTAAGAAAATATAAAAATTTTTAAGGGGTCTGTGTCAAATCAAAGCCAGTTCGTCTTAGGTTCTATTCTTGTGCATCAGAACTAATAAATATTGTCAAATGAAAGCATATTTTGTGAGTCTATATATATATATATTTGGATTCTGCTTCTTTTTGCTCCTTTAGCCAACTCATATATTACTCTGTGTATACTTGGGCAAGTCTCTTAACTTTATTTTCATTATGGAATACAGGTAATAATTGTATCCCTTTAATTACTGTAATAGTTCATTGTATGTGTCAGCTTGGTTAGGCCACGGTACCCAGTTGTTTGGTCAAACAATGATCTAGCTGTTGCTTTGAAGGTATTTTTCAGATGTGATTAATATTTGAATCGGTAGACTTCAAGTAAAGCAAATTGCCCTCCATCAGTAGAAGGCCTTAAGAAAAATGACTGAGGTCCCAAGAAGAAGAAAGAATTCTATTTCCAGACTGCCTTTGGATTCAAGTCTGCAACAGTAACTCTTGCTGGAATTTCCAGCCTGCATTCCTGCCATGCATACTTTAAACCTTCCAAACCCACAATCCACAGTCTCCTAATAAATCAAGCTCTCTCTCTCTGTCTCTGTCTGTCTGTCTCTCTCTCTCTCTCTCTCATTATATATATAATGTATACACACACAGTTGACTCTTGAATAACTGTGTGAGTTCACTTATACACAGATTTTTTTCAACCAAACGCAGACTGAAAATGCAGCACTCACAGGATGCAAAACCCATGCATATTGAGGGTCAACTTAGTTTATGCCAGTTCTGCAGCGATGACTGCAGATTTGGCTATTGGTGGGGGCATCCTGGAAACCAATCCTCCCATATATAACAAAGGACTAATTTATATATGTGTGTGTGTGCATGTGTGTGTGTGTGTGTGTAAAACCTTTGGTTCTGCTTCTCTGGAGAACTCTGACTAATATAATGACCTTCTTTGCAATGATCATCAAGATCGGACTGTGGTGAAGTTTAGGAATACATAAGAAGACCACTGTATATTCATCAGTCTCAGGAGATAAGCTTTTCTTAATTAGCCTGTTATCCCCTCTCTCCCCACCTCAGCACCCACCTTAAATAAGTAACAATAATCATGATCACATTATAAAAGTGAGGCAGCAAGAGGATAGCAAAACTTAGTGTCATGAAATCAAATCAACCAACCCAGGAGCTCTATTAAGCCTAGGCTCTCTTCTAAAATCCAGAGCAATATTCTTCAATGTATAATCAGTAACATGTGTTTATATATAAAAACTACATATCTTATTTGTTTAAAATAAATGTTCTCAATATATATCCCACACTTACCATCTACTCTGTGTCTCCTCTAATGATTCCATTCTCCGCTGATATCCTATTATAGAAGCCTAGGATGTAAAATCATGAAACTCAAAATTCTGCACAGGGTAAATTTTAGGCTTGCAAGCTTTGGAATTTTTATCTATCTGACATAGGATTTTGAAGTGATCATCACATGACATAATCGAACTTGCCATCAATGAATACTCAGAGGTATTATTAAAAATTTTCCATTCCAATGCATTTCCTGTTATTAGTCTCATTCATTTAGCCATTTAATAAGTGGACAACAAATCCAGCAGCCTTCAAATATGGAAGAGTTCCAAACCTTTGGCAATTAGCATGACATCAGTTTGTATAGCCACTGTAATAACCACTGCCATACACACCAGGGATTCAAAGTCCGTGAACAAGTGAAACCTCACCCATGAATGCTAAGTAAATTGGTACCAATCAATGGGTACTCAGGATGCCTGATATGCAGCCTAGAACTAACTTAGCTTCTAGAAGTATCTTACTAAACACTTCCTAATTTGCCTCTTCTACTGCTTGGCAGATGTTCAAAGCAATATATATAAATCTATATTCTCCACACTTTACAGATTGTCTGGGTAAGGTAATCTTTATAAGTAAGGCAAAAATATCAAAGTGTTTTATAATTAGTTTTTTAATCACTTTTTAAATATTTTGATTATGTAAAGCAAAAATATATTGTGAAATTTATAACATGTAGAAGTAAAATATATTAAAGTAATAAGAAAAAGCCTGAGAGGAGAAAAACAGAAGTTTGAAAATTTCTTATATCATACAGGAAATGATATAATATTATTTGAAGTTATTATTATTATACTGCATTAAAGATGTATAATCTAAATTCTGGAGAAACAGCTAACATAAAGTAGTATAACTAATAAGATTATAGTGAAGATGAAATAAAATTAAAATACTAAAATAAAACCCAAAAACAAATAAAAAAACTCTAAAGGACAGAAAATGAACACAGAACAAATGGGGAAAATAGAAGACAAATCACAAAATGGTAGATTTAAACCCAACCATATCAATAACTACATTCGAATTTTTTAAAAAGGAAAAATAATATACCACCCTAACATTTATTTAAAAAGTTCTGGACAGGATGTTACAGAAACCTCCAACCCGGAACCACCAATAGGCATAAATAACAAAAGCTCCAAGGAAAGCCCATTCCTTCTAGCCAAAGGACGAGGAAAAATGCGGTGGCCTAACAACAGGAAATCTTTCTAGCAGTACCCTTCCTGCTTCAGCTAAACACCAACAAACAAACCACACTCCCAGGTCTCAGTTAGTGAGCAGGGAAGTTGATCTTCCACTCCACCTTCCTTCCCAATAGAAACCAACTGTGCATTCTGGTTTCCTGCTTGGTAGTGTCAGCAGGCCAAACAGGGAGCTGATCTTCCATTCTCCAGATGGCAGAAGCATGTGGTGCTCCAGTCTCCCGGCAAGATAGTGTCAGTGGGGTCCAACAATGAGCTGAGCCTCCATCTCTACCTGGCAACAATGAGGTAGAATGAGGTGCTGTAAGGTGAGATAGTCAACACTCAGCTTCCTCCACCCCAGTGTCAGCAATGCCCAGTGAGGAGCTGGACCACCACACCCATCCAGTGGCCGTGTAACTGAACAAGGCAATGGAAAGCAGGGCTACTTGGAGTTCCTGTTCCCACCGCCTTGTCAACAGGGCCCAGTGGTAAGCTAAGCCTCCACTCCTGCCATACCAACCAGGCAGGAGGTAAGTCTAGTTGGCCCTCTCCTTTCCCTGCTTCCAGCTGGCCCAGCAGAAAGCTGATCATCTCCATTCAGAGGCAATAAGGCAATGTGATTTAACAGTCCCCTTTTTGCTGGGGTGGTGCCAGTGGCACCCAGCTGGACACTGAACATATACATCCACCAAACTTTGCACAACACCTCAACAGGAGAACTACCTGCTAAAAAGAAGATTAAATAAGATCCAGAGTTTCCTAATAAAAAACCCATAATGTCCAGGCTGCAATCAAAAATTACTTTTCATTCCAAGAATTAGGAAATCAGAACATGAATGAGAAAAGACAATCAACTGATATCAACACCAAGATGAATCAGATGCTCAAATTATTGGAAAAGGACTTTAAAATAGCTCTCACAAAAATGCTTCAGTGAGGCCAGGTGTGGTGGCTCATGCCTATAATCCCATCACTTTGTTAGGCTGAAGTAGGAGGATCACTTGAGCCCAGGAGTTCGAGACCAGCCTGGGCAACACAGTGAGATCTCATCTCTACAAAAAGTTAAAAATTAGCTGGGCATGATGGTGAGTGCCTGTAGTTCCAACTACTCGGGAGGCTGAGGCAGGAAAATTTCTTGAGCCCAGGAATTTGAGGCAGCAGTTGAGTCCAGAGAACTGAAAAATACAATAACTGAAATTAAAAAGTTCTCTGGATAGATTCAATACAAAGGGGAGATGCCAGAGAACAGAATCTGTAAACTTTAAACAGATCAATAGAATTTACCCAGTTTGAAAAACAGGGAGAAGGTAGACTGAAAGAAAAATGAGTAGAGTTTCAGAGACCTATGAGATAATAACAAGAGATCTAAGTTCATATCACTGGAGCTTTAGAATAAGAGGAAAGCGGTGGAACTGAAAAAGAAATAATGCCTGAAAACTCCCCAAATTTGACAAAACTATAGTGGCAGAGGTAATTGACTATAATCATGAGGATGAGGATATAGAGTTGCTACTACATAATGGGGATAGAGAGAAGTACAGGTAGAACTCAGAGATTTATTGGAACATGTCTTGGTGTTTCCATGCTTGGTGATAGCAGTGAAGAGGTAACTGCATCAACCAAGGTCTGAAAAGGGTACGGTAACCAGGGGCTTGGGCCTTTCAGGGATGAAGGTCTGAGTCACCAAAGAGCAAGAAACTGAGACCAGCAGGAATGTTGAATGAGGGAGCCTAGAATGAGTGACAGAAGAGGGAGACAATAGATAACAGTGATGGTCTTGGGACCAACTGCAGCAGCGACTCTACTTATCTGACTAACTCTCCTGTTTGAGGTTTTGTTGTTGTTGCTGTTGTTGTTGTTTTTAAAGAAACTATAATCAGCCACCACCTTGAGGAATCAATGACAGTACAAAGCAAATATAATGTTGGGTAAGAGTGTATCAAAGCAGTGGAAGAGTTGACTGATTACCCTCCTCTGCATAACCCATTAACATTTTTCATGTGTTAGCATACTGGCCCAGCTTTCAACTGTCAGCACCTCTGTGCCTGAAGGGATCTTTCTGGCAACTGGAGCTCTCTTTGTCTAAGTACATAGTAAACCCTGAATACTAGAAAATTAATATCCCTGGTAATTTATAAAATTAATATCCTTCAACCAATGGCTGACAGGAGTTGGTAAATGGAAGCCAGTCAACAAGATGACATCAATGATCTCCATCATCTCTGGTGTTCAGATCTGTGCAATCCCCTTCTGCACTGTATAAAGGTGCATCTGGGTAACCAACAGAATACAGCAGAAGTGGCCAGAATCGCCCTGCGGATCTCAGGAGGAAGGTTTAGTCGGAGGGTGGTTTGTGCTTGCTGAGACAGGACCTCAGGGATGATGGCAGAGGGAGGTAATCACAGCATCAATTTGCTGGCTGCAGAGACTGCAAGTTTAGAACAATAGCTGCAAGAATGGGGAAAAGTGATGTTGATGGTGGATAAAGTCTTATTATGGGAAAGAGCTTGGTTTTCACCTGCCATCATGGACTTGGTTTCTTTGGTGTGTCAATTATCTACTATCTAGATCCATCTGTTCTGTCTGCTGTTTCCTCTTTTGTTATGTTTTGGTGCTTGGCTGACTACCTTGTTTCCATTCTAGCACCTAACATTTTTGGCTCCAATAAATGCACCAGCGATCAACAGCAAAGATTCCATGAAATTTGCAGCAGTCTACTAAAAACTCGATGCAGAGCTATGGACTGGTGGAAACAAATCTTCACACTGAGGGAAGAAAAGCCTAAAATGTGTTTCATGGCCATGATCATTTATCTTGCTGCAGTTGTTTGGATGGGACAGTAAGTCCACAATCTGCTTCTCATCTACCTGATAGTGACTTTCTTACTGTTGCTTCCTCAACTAAACCAACGTGGAATCATTTCAAACCACACTGGAAAGGCCAAAGGGAGATAAACAAGCTTCTCAAACAAAAAGAAAAGAAAAATGAATAATTCATCGCTTTACTCAATGTGATTAATGGCATATACATTGTCCCTAGGAACAGTTTCTACTATACTATCTAGATACTAAAATGTTGAAGAAGTAGCTCTTTGTTCTCCCTCATTCTGCCCTTAATTATTCAATAGTCTAAATCCAATGGGATAAAAGAAAAAAGAAAGAAAGAAATTCACACTTACCAAGTAAGTGTTTGCGAGTCAAATATAGTTAAAAGCATTTTCATTCTCATTGGATAACTCATTAGAGAGTATGACTTGTTTTGATTTTTCTCACCCAGGGTTAATGGAATTCTTACATTTAGACAACTTCCTTTAAAATAATATAGTGGTGGACTTTACCCTTCAGTACAGTTAAAGTGACCTTGGATAATTGTTTAAGTTGATCCTTGTTTTAGTTTGATACCAGGTAGTGGTCTGTGGCTACAGGAATCTTATTCTACTGTCTGCTTCCACTGCATACTTAAAAAACTGTCTGACTTCATGAATACAGAGACCAAATTTACCACTTCTGATCCACTTCTGATGAAGAGACCCATTAAGATTCATCCTCGGCCGGGCGCGGTGGCTCACGCCTGTAATCCCAGCACTTTGGGAGGCCGAGGCGGGCGGATCACAGGTCAGGAGATGGAGACCATCCTGGCTAACACGGTGAAACCCCGTCTCTACTAAAAATTTAAAAATTAGCAGGTCGCGGTGGCAAGAACCCGGGAGGCGGAGCTTGAGTGAGCCGAGATCGCACCACTGCACTCCAGCCTGGGTGACAGAGCGAGACTCCGTCTCAAAAAAAAAAAAAAAATTCATTCCTCATTCTGTTTTTTTTAACGTGGAAATAGGATCCTGATGGAACAAAATTAAATTAATTCCATACCCTAGTATATGTAGGTTTCACCCTTAAGCAAAACTTAGTGTTTTGTAGGGAACATTGATCCTTTCTCCCAAAGGAGGAAGATTTAACAGCGTTAGAGCTCTTATGCCCTTGCAATTATACTTCAAGTTAGTACATCCTTAAAGGCTTTTTCATGGCAGACTTCCAAACGATTGTACTTAGGATTTTTGGCATACTTCTAATTTTGGACCTTCAGTTGACTTTAGCTATGACAGAGAGTAGGTTAAGACTCATGTGTATGACCTTTACCCTAAGACCAGCTAGTAAAGAACTAGTCTTTTATGTTAGCCAAAATTCATTTCAATAGAAAATAATCTTATCTAATTAATTTCTGAGACCAGAATAAGCCTTGGAAGGTAAGCCTCAACGTTCTCCTTTATGGTAATACTGCTTGTTTCAGTCCCAATAGGTTTGGCATAGGAGATAATAACCACACTGGTGTCTGACTACTTTTTTAGATATTTCTCTGAAAAATGCAAGGCTGTTGGTGAGAGCAGACATGAGGTGATGATAGTTGGCCTCTGATCTCCATAGATTTTGTAACTCCTTGGTGAGTTTTTGTGTGTGTGTGTGTGTTTCTAATAATCATTATAATCATGACAATAATCATCCTCTACCTCTCAGTAGCTAGAAATTTAGAGTATTTGAAATCTGAAATCTGTAGGAATAGACCTCTGAGGGCAAAAAATATGACATATTTAGAGCAATTCTTAAATGGATTAACAAGCTGTAATATAGTTTTGTGAATTTATTCCACTGACGCTCTACCTTGTGGTATTAAATGAGTATTGTTTTCTCCCTTTTAATATTGCTGTAAACAGTGGTGCCCATTGTAGGATATGTTTTATTTTTTAAATGTCTTATATGAGAACTAGCTTAAATGTACATGTGTTTCTTCATTGTAAATAAGCTTGTCTTCTTATGGGGATTTTTTTGTGTGTGTATACATTCTACTGATTAATTACTTTTGCAGTTTGAATCCTATATTATTTCTTCTACTTTGTTATATGTAAAAGGAGAAAAATGTTAGAAGCTGGGGGAAAAAAACAGTAGAAGTGATGGTATAACACTTCTGAGGCTGGACTATAAAATCTCTCTCTCTCTCTCTCGCTCTCTCTCTCAACACACTATAAAGAGAGACATGTGATAAGAATCTGGGAACTCTTGCCAACAGCTATGTGAGCAAGCCATCTTGGAAGTGCACCCTCCAATCCTAGTCAAGAGACTAGAGGGAGAGAGAAAGAGAAGAAAATCTACCCGTACTAAGACTTTGAGTAAGGGAAATGCAGTAAAGAGAGAGTATTGTAATTCCTTTCCCTGTTTTTTCTATGCCCAAAAGTTTTCATGCAGCTGTGATTATTCTGCATAATCAGTTATGCACCCTGGTTTTCTTGATTCGTTGTTATATCATAAGCAGTTCGCCATTTTTATGCAGTCTTTTTTTTTTTTTTTTTTTACTTTAAGTTCTAGGGTACATGTGCATAATGTGCTGGCTTGTTACATATGTATACTTGTGCCATGTTGGTGTGCTGCACCCATCAACTCGTCAGCACCCATCAACTCGTCATTTACATCAGGTATAACTCCCAATGCAATCCCTCCCCCCTCTATTTTTATGCAGTCTTAATGAATAGCCTTTATTTGCTATGTGGTAGGTAAAATTTCAGTGAATAGACCCAAGATTCCCTGCCCTAATCCCCAGAATCTTGAATGTGATGCAGTATTACTCTGGTAATTGTGTTGGGTTCTATGGCACAGTTGACTTTTTGTTTCGTTTTGTTTTGTTTTGTTTTACTTTCTGAGACAGAGTCTCCTCTGTCCCCCAGGCTGGAGCGCAGTGGTGCAATCTCGGCTCACTCCCAGGTTCAAGCAATTCTCCTGCGGCAGCCTTTCTAGTAGCTGGGATTACAGGTGCCCACCACCATGCCCGGCTAATTTTTTTGTATTTTTAGTAGAGACAGGGTTTCACCATGTTGGCCAGGTTGGTTTTGAACTCCTGACCTCAAGTGATCCACCAACTTGGCATCCCAAAGAGCTAGGATGACAGGCGTGAGCCACTACACTGAACCAACAGTTGACTTTTTTTTTTCTTTTTTTTTTTGAGATGGAGTCTCGTTCTGTTGCCCAGGGCTGGAATGCAGTGGGGCGATCTCAGCTCACTGCAACCTCCACCTCCCGGGTTCAAGCAATTCTCCTGCCTCAGCCTCCCGAGTAGCTGGGATTACAGGCACCCACAACCACGCCCGGCTAATTTTTGTATTTTTAGTAGAGACGGGGTTTCACCGTATTGCCCAGGCTGATCTCGAACTCCTGACCTCAGGTGATCCGCCTGCCTCGGCCTCCCAAAGTGCTGGGATTACAGGTGTGAGCCACCACACCCAGCCCACAGTTGACTTTTTAAAAGGGAGATATCTATGTACCTGTTGACATGAGACCTTAAAAACACATGAACTTTGGAAGATTAAGCCAGAAAGATTCCAAGCATGAGATGAACTTGACCTGCTATTGTTGGTTTGAAGATGGTGGGACTCACATGAGAAGGAGTGCAGATTGCCTTAAGGAGCTCAGAAATGCCCCCAGCCAACAAACATTATGAATATGGGAACTTTAGTCCCACATCTACATGGACTAGAATTCTGATAATAATAAGAACTAGCCGGGCACGGTGGCCCAAACTAGTAATCCCAGCACTTTGGGAGGCTGAGGCGAGCAGATCACTTGAGGTCAGGAGTTCAAGATCAGCCTGGCCAACAAGATGAAACTTCGTCTCTACTAAAAATAGGAAAATTAGCCAGGCATGGTGGCGGGCGCCTGCAATCCCAGCTACTTGGGAGGCTGAAGCAGAAGAATCGCTTGAACCCAGGAGGCAGAGGTTACACTGAGCCAAAATCACACCACTGGACTCCAGCCTCAGCAACAGAGCAAGACTCTATCTCAGGAAAAAAAAAAAAAAAAAAGAAAAGCACCTGTAATCCCAACTGAGAAGGCTGAGTCTGGAGAATTGCTTGAGCTCAAGAGCTCAAAACCAGCCTGGGCAACATAGCAGGACTCTGTCTCTACAAAAATACATATATGTATATATATATTAATTAGCCAGGTATGGTAGTGTGTGCCTATAGCCCTAGCTACTTGGGAGGCTGAGATGAGAGAATTCCCTGAGGCCAGGAATTTGATCCCACAGTGACCTATGATCATGCCACTGCCCTCTATCCTGGGCAACAGAGAAACACCTTGTCTCTAAATTTCAAAAAATATATAAAAATAGGCCAGGCATGGTGGCTTATGCCTATAATCCCAGCACTTTGGGAGGCTTAGGCGGGCGGATCACGAGGTCAGGAGATCAAGACCATCCTGGCTAACACGGTGAAACCCCGTCTCTACTAAAAATACAAAAAATTAGCCAGGTGTGGTGGCGGGTGCCTGTAGTCCCAGCTACTCAGGAGACTGAGGCAGGAGAATGGCGGGAACCCAGGAGGCGGAGCTTGCAATGAGCTGAGATCACGCCGCTGCACTCCAGCCTGGGCAACAGAGCAAGACACCATCACATATACATATATATGTATATTTATAATAGAAAAAAACTTAAAGAATTAACTTGGAAGAGGACTCTGAACTCTGAACTCTGGGTGAGAACTTGAGTACTCACCCAGCCAATGCCTCAACTTTACTATGGTTACGTCCTAAGCATAGAACTCAGCTGAACTTGCTTGGACTTATGACCTACAGAACTACAAGTTAATATATAGGTGTTGTGGTAATTTGTTATGCAGGAATAGAAACTAATACAACTTTAAAATATTCCATTGATCATAGCATTCACAATATCATTTGCATAATATTGTTTTCCCTAATTGATAACTATATGAACAATTCATACTCACCAAGTCCAAAGTCCTTAAATATCATTTCTATGGCTTCTTTGGTTTCCTTGTAAACTGGAAAAATCAAAGCTTCATTTCTCGCCTGCATTTATTTAAATGACAGCTCAAAAAAATGAATTGTTAGACAAAAGGAACATGAACATTTCAGTGGCCTGGATTCATGTTATCAAGGTTACTTTCCAGTATGACTATGTCTATTCAAATTCCACCTCAAATGTTCATTTTATAAATTAGAATGAAAAAGCACTCCTACCTCACCCAAAGAGAATTTTGTTTAATCCTTGACTCCAAAAAAAAAAAAATGCATAGCATATGACTGACCATATAACTATGGTAACTTGGAGCAACCCTCACTTTTGATGTCCCAATAACCTGCAATCTGAGCTTGCGCTCTCTGATCGGCTTTATCTCATGTGGAGGTAGCCATACACAATGATGTACTCTCTAAACCTAGCTGACAGCAAGTTGTAGCATTTAACAGACTTCATTAAAAGATCTGAAGAGAACATAAGGGAATTATAAAGCAGGAAAGGAAAATCTTCACATTTACTGTAAATTTTTATTGTACTTAATGCCTACTGACTACATCTTTTCATGAGAATCTCCTACTGGCTCTCCTGCCTCACCCAGATTTGCTACCAAATTGCTTGTGTTCACTCTTCTTTCCCATCTTCTACAGACTCCCCTGATTATGTTCATGCTCCCCACGTCTAAAGCCCCTAAACTTCACTTCTAGCCTGAGTTATAAACCTCTGAAATATGTTGATTATATTTATTTATCAAGGATGCACATAATGAAGAGAGCCTTTCATAATTAATCAGAATACTTAACATCTCACTCTGAAGCATTTGCATTTGGATTTCCAAAGTTCAGAGTCCCCCCAAAGAAAATGAGTATCACCACAGGGATCCTTCCAGAGCAACAATCCACCCGAACGACAAACTCCATCTAATACCTTTAGACCCACAAGATACAAATAGTGGTTAGGATTTCACCTTCCACAAACCAAGGGTAGAGAAATACTGAGTTGCAGTCCCAGAGGTCCTACCACATAATACTTAGTGAAAATTCAAGACTGGAATTGAAATAACTAAACTTAAATAGACCTTACTGTGTGCCACTACTTCTCTGAGTAACACTAGATATAACTATAGATATAGATGATATAGATAGAGAGTCATAACTCACAACAGCCTTGTGAGGTAGATACTCTAATTATTCTCACTTTATAGATAAGCAAATAAACCAAAAAAAAAAAAAAAAAAGTGATTGACTTAAGATAACCCAACTAGAAAGTAGCAAACTCAAATCCACGCAGTCTGGTTCCAAAGTCCCCAGTCTTAACTCACAGCAGGCATACACTCAGGAAATATAACTTCTTGCTGCTGTGGTTGCTTTTTGAATTTTGTTGCAGCTGAAGAGGCCTCATAGTCACCGTGTCTCTCACAGCACAGAGGTAAGAGGCAGAGTCTTTCATCTGGAGCTCCTTCAAAAGGAGGTAACTGTACCTTTTCGAGTTACTAAGGAATGAAGAAAAACGACCTTTCTCCTCCAAACCATCCAGAACATTGTAAGAGAGAAGTGTGGGTGCTTCGCCATCATGTTGCTGGTACCAGGACAGCCCGTTGAACCCAGATGTCTGGTATGTGCAGTTGATCTGGACAGTGGCTCCTTCCATAGCTGTCATCTCAGTGGGCTGGTCAATGTTTTGTCCTGTAGTACCTAAGACAAGACACATGACTGTTACTAGGGCAGCGCTCCTGGAAGCCTCATTATTATTAAAAATGATGTCTCCATGTGGTCACAAAAGAACTGCCATTAAGGGGAGATTCTTAGAAATAAATGGCAGCAAAGTAGCAGCAGCAGTAGTTATTATTTGATATCCAATAACAATTAGCACCACATAAAGTATCTATTAAGAAATACTCTTTTGTTACAAGTGTCAGAAATGGCAATCATTTAGCTGAAAGAAAATTGTTTTAAAAACTCCCAGCAGCATTTGCTATTAGATTGAGACTTACCTCCCATCTTCATGGAGACATAAAGAAGGAAAGTTCCCCACATCTGCTGCAGGACACCACGAGCCTGGCACTGCATCCCCAGTTCCTGAGCCACTGGAGTCTGCAAAAGGTAGACACTTCATATGGGTGAGGGAAGGAAGCTCAGTCTGGATGCAAAACCCAATAGAATTACAAGGGGAGGAGCCCCTTTCTTGAAGGGATGACTCTGAGCTTCCTTCTACAGAAGCGGTTATAGGTTCTCTTACTACAGAAGGGTCTTCACATGAACATTTCCTACAGAGAAATCCACAAGTTTTAATCCAAGTGGTTCTGGTAAAGTTGAAAAAGCATCATGTATAAAGAACAAAGAAGGCAAATGGGAATAACATAAGGCCAAGTATTCAATTTCCCCATAAGTGTTTCTCTTCTCAAGATGGGAAAAAATGGAAACAAGGGTGCAATTAGAGGTGGCGTGTGTATGTGTGTGTGCGTGTGTGTGTTGGTGGTAGTGGTGGTGGTATTTGTGACAATAAGGGAGAGACAGAGTTTTCAACCATCTAGATTTATCCCCCAACAGATGATCAGATATTAATTTAAAGTTCAAAAGAAACATAATTTGTATGTCTGTATGTGTATGTGTATATAGGAATATACAGGAAGAAATGAGAAAAAAGCTATTAACATTAGACACTGCCAGGCGTGGTGGCTTACGTTTGTAATCCCAACATTTTGGGAAGCTGAGGCAGGTGGATCACCTAAGGTCAGGAGTTTGAGACCAGCCTGACCAACATGGTGAAACCCCATGTCTTTTAAGAATACAAAATTAGCCGGGCACGGTGGCACATGCCTGTAATCCCAGCTACTCGGGAGGCTGCGGCAGGAGAATCACTTGAACCTGGGAGGTGGAGGTTGCAGTGAGCTGAGATCACACCATTGTACCCAGCCTGGGTGACAAGAATGAAACCCCATCTAAAAAAAAAAATTAGTTACTTCAGAGGAGTGAAATTAAAAGAAAATGGTGAACATGTTAACTTTTTCTTATATATCTCTGTTTCGTTTGACTTGAAATTGGTTGCATAACAAACTGAGAATGTGGAAGAAAGAAAAAGAAGGAATAAAAAAGGAAGGAGGAAGACTAAGTGTAAAACAGGAAGGAAAAGAGGGAGGAAGAAAGAAACCTATATTTCAAACTATTTCTCATGTGTTACAAAAGGAAGTTAACTCTTTTTGATACATAGTTTTCCCAAACTAATGAATGCCTCACATATAATATCTTTACCAAAGTAATTTATATCCCCCATGAACTCTCTAGATTTATTTCTATTTACTCCATATAGCAACTGTACTTTGTTTCAATAAAGATGATACTGTCATCTTGTGGCAAGATGTAGCAGTGCAACTTCACACACACACACACACACACACACACACACACACACGCCTAAAGTTTTCTCACTTTAGAATTAAAAAGAAACTTAGATATCATCCAGTCTTTGTCCAGCTCCATTATTTTACAGGGGAAGTTCTTGAAACTCTTGAAGCTTTTATCACACTCGAGGCTTCAAATCTTCATTTATAGTCAATTTCCCAGTGTTATTTAGATTAACATGAATTTTTGTTTTGTTTTGTTTTTTTGAGAGAGGGTCTCTCTCAGTCGCCCATGCTGGAGGGCAGTGGCGGGTTCATGGTTCATTGCAGCCTCAACCTTCTGGGCTCAAGAGATCCTTCTGCCTCTACCTCTCAAGTAGCTAGGAATACAGGCCCCCAGCTAATTTTTTGTATTTTATTGTGAGATGAGGTCTTGCTATGTTGTGCAGGCTGGTCTTGAACTCCTGGCCTCAAGCGATCCTCCTGCCTCGGCCTCCCAAATTGTTGGGATTACAGGCATAAGCCACTGCGCCCTGCCCAACATTAAATATGAAAAATGAATAAATGGATTTCCGAAGCTACTTGGCCTGGTATATGCAGGTCAATCGAGGATCAATTTGATGTCAGATCTACTCCAGGTAATTTTAAACATTAGACTCATATTTGAAACCACAGCTTTTTTTGCTGCCCACAGCATTTAACATGTGTGGCAGTTTCGACTATTAATTTATTCAGAAGTACACATTGAGAAATTATTACATGCCAGGCACTGTGCTAGTAGTGCTGGGGATTCAAAGCTAAGCAAAGCCCATATTCTAGTGAAGGGAGACAAGCAGGAAGCAAACAAGTAAATACAGTATGTCAAATGCTGGCAAGTGCTCAGAGAAAAATAAAATAGGGAAGGGAAAGGAGAGAGGCAACAGAAACCTCTCTGATTAAGTGATGCCTGAAGATGATGGTGGAATCCTGATGAGTATTTGGGGAGGGAAAAGGATCAGTTGGGACTTCATAACACCCCTAAGAAATTAGAGGTCATCCAAATAACATGCAAACGAGGTTATTCCCCACAGTTCCCTTTCCAGGGATCCTACTAAAAACATTTCCAGCTCTCTCTCAAAACAAAATAATGAGGATTTGGGGAGGAAAGATCTCATTAGGGACATATTCCAGAGTAGGGTTTCCCTCGAGGATAGAATTTTCCTTCAAATCTCTTGGCAGTGTCTTTTTTTCTTTTAATCCAAAAAAGCAACAGCTGATGGAAACTGATATAAAATATGACTGAATATATACAGCAGTCACACTCGTCCACGGACCCCAAAAGACAGGTGCTCTGACAGATTCTGAACATTTATTTGCTGGGCCAAACCTCTAAAAAAAATTATAAAGCCTTTCCAAAACAGATGTGGGAGCCCTTCATAGTAGGCTAGACTGAATCTCTGAAAACCATCTCTCCATCCACTGGACGGTTGCACTCGAGGACAGCCAGCCTCCTCCACAATTGTGCAGCTCTGTACATGTGAGTCTAAAAGAATGGAAAAAGCAGCCCTGACACCAGCTATGTTCAAAACAAGGCTGCAGACTAATTTTGGAACTTTAAGACTTTCTGTTATTGTGTCCGAGTGTTAATATAATCCATCTCTTTTCTCCATCTGTTTCCTCAACTCTTTACCAAACTGCTAGAATTAAGTTCCTTCTTTTCCAATTTGGGGAAACTCTTTTTGTGTTGAGAAAATGACTCAAAACAAAAAACAAAACTTACAACACTATTTTCTTTTCATGTTCTCTTTTTATTAGGGCAGTGATAAAGGGCAGAGTTGGGCAGCAATAGTCGTAGGGGTTATAAAGAACATTCTTCAGTGATTGTGCAAACACAAAGAAAGGCTGGATTCATAGCCTTTCCCTTCTCCAATGAAGAGGGCACGAAGTACTTTTTCTAAAGCAAGCTCTTTTTTTAACCTCCGGTAATAGGAAAGAATGTACTCTTGTGAATTCGACAAAACATGTCTGGGCCACCTCAAATTCTATCCGTTTCCTCTACTCTGCCCTAGCTCTACCAGGATGTCTAACTCTGAATGAAGGATGACAGAAGGTGAAACCTCTTTTTGGAAGCAGATGTGCGTTGAGTCTTGTCACAAGGGTAAACAGGAGTCCTTTGATCCTAATGTGTCCAACGCAATGCTGGACCAGCCTTCACTCCTCATCTTCAAGATTTCATAACCGTTGCATAGTAGTCCAGATCCCAAAGGTCACTGTAGAAATCTAAAGTTTCAAATTGCTGGATAAAGGCTTGTCCTCCTCGGCGCCTCTCTAAATACACTGCAAGAAATGTGTTCACATCAAACTAGCTTGATTTGTGGCAGGGTAGGGGCATAGAAAGCAGCTTATCCTGTGATCCCATAATGCCATAGAGGTCCTTTGAAGGTGTTCTTGACCCTCCCTGTCCTTACCTTCTCAGTGCTATTCTTTCACCCCATTCCCAAAGTCTCTTCCTAGAGTTTCCAGGATAATTGCTTTGTAAAAATATGCTGTTTATTCTCTGATGTCACTGGGCTCTTATTTTCAGATGCTTTTTATATTGAACTTTAACTTTTTGTTATTTTCATGTGCTCTGATTATTTAAATTCTGACCTATTCAGATGGAGAATATCCAATACAGTCTAAAACTTGGGAAATTTTGGAATATTTTGGTTATCTAATTAGCCAGGGTAGATATACTAAAATTATATTTAACTTTCCTTATCTTAAATATCCTAAGTTTCAAAAGCTAAAAAAGAGGAGCAGACCTCAAATAAAATGACACAAATCTGGAAGATAAGGGAGAGGGACAAGAGGATACACAAATGTGGCCTTTACCTTTGTCTTTTTTTTTTTCTCTTTTTTTTTTTTTTGAGACAAGGTCTCAATCTGTCACCTAGGAAGGAGTATAGTGGCACCATCATGGCTCACTGAAGCCTTGACCTTCCAGGCTCTGGTGATCCTCTTGTCTCAGCCTCCTGAGTAACTAGGACTACAGATGCGCACCATTAGACCCGGCTAATTAAAAAATTTTTTTCACAGACAGGGTCCCACTATGTTGCCTAGGCTGGTCTCAAACTTCTGGGCTCAAGCAATTCTCCTGCCTCAGCCTCCCAGAGTGCTGGGATTACAGGCATGAGCCACCATGCCCAGTCTTTCTTTTGTCTCCTCTTTTTTTTTTTTTTTTTT